AAAAATAAGAATGGAAATAGGAGAGGGAGAAGGAAGAAGACTGAGAGTGTGGGTGGGAGGGAAGGGAGGGTAGGAAGAATCACTATATTCCTAAATTTGTATATATTAAATAAATGAAGTTTATATACTTAAATAAAAAGTTTCCAGGTTAAAAAAAAAGTGAGGATTGGTTGACATGCACTCCAACATGGGATGCAGGTGGCCAAAATGGAGGGTTTTTTTGTTTTGTTTTGTTTTTTAAGATTTTATTTTATTTATTTGACAGGCAAAGTTACAGACAATGAGAGAGAGACAGAGAGAAAGGTCTTCCTTCTGTTGGGTCACTCCCCAAGTGGCCGCAATAGCCGGAGCTGTGCTGATCTGAAGCCAGGAGCCAGGTGCTTCCTCGCAGTTTCCCATGTGGGTGCAGGGGCCCAAGCACTTGGGCCATGCTCTACTGCTTTCCCAGGCCACAGCAGAGAGATGGACCAGAAGAGGAAAAACCAGAACTAGAACCAGTGTCCACATGGGATGCTGGCGCCTCAGGGAAAGGATTAACCTAGTGTGCCATGGCGCCGGTCCCTGGAGTTTTAACTCAACTGTGCCATAAAGCCAATCTTTAAGATTCAGTTTTAAAAATGTGAATAAACAGTTTAAATAATAAAGAAGTCTTATCTTTTGCAACAAAATGGATGCAAATAGAAGCCATCATACTTAGTGAAATAAGCCAGTCCCCAAAATACAGATACCATGTTTTCCCTGATCTGTGGTAACTAATAGAGAACCTAAAACGTAATGTGTTGGAGTGAAATGGACGTTTTGAGATTTGATGATTGTTTACAGCCTTTGTCTCTTCTGTTGAGGAACAGTGTTTTTTTTTTTTTTTCATATTATTTGTTGATCTCTGCTTAGTGTAGGGTTAACTATACAATCATTAAGTAAACTAAAAGTAAATCTTTGTAAAAATTAAGGGTAGGGATGGGAAAGGGAAGAAGAAGAAGAGTTGGAGTCTGGGCAGGAAGGAGGGTAGAGTGGGATCATCATTATGTTCTTAAATCTGTATATATGAAATACATGAAACTTGTATGACTTAAATAATTTTAAAATTATAATTTAAAAAAATTTTATAGAAGCACAGGCGGTCAAAGCCAAAATTAACATTTGGGATTGCATCAAATTGAGAAGTTTCTGTACTGCAAAAGAAAGAGTCAGGAAAGTGAAGAGGCAACCAACAGAATGGGAAAATATATTTGCAAACTATGCAACTGATAAAGGGTTGATAACCAGAATCTACAAAGAAATCAAGAAACTCCACAACATCAAAACAAACAACCCACTTAAGAGATGGGCCAAGGACCTCAATAGACATAGTCATTTGCAACAAGATGGAGGAATTTGGAAAACATCATGCTGAGTGAATTAAGCCAGTCCCAAAGGGACAAATATCATATGTTCTCCCTGATCAGCGACAACTAACTGAGCACCAAAGGGCAAACTTGTTGAAAGGGCAAACTTGTTGAAGTGAAATGGACACTATGAGAAACAGTGACTTGGTCAGCTCTTGTCCTGACGGTTGATGTACAATGTAATACTTTATCCATTATAGTATTTTTTTTTTGTTCTAGTACCATTGGTTGAACTCTGTAATTAACACACAATTATTCTTAGGTGTTTAAATATTAACTGAAAAGTTATCCCTGTTAGGAATTTGGAAAACATTATGCTGAGTGAAATAAGCCAATCAGAAAGGGACAAATACCACTTGTTCTCCCTGATAGGTGACAACTAACTGAGCACCAAAAAGGAAACCTGTTAAAGTGAAATGAACACTATGAGAAACGGTGACTTGATCAGCCCTCACCCTGACTGTTGATGAGCAACTTGATATGTTATCCCTCTCAGTATTTTTTTTTGTTTGTTCTACTTAATACTTTTGGTTGAATACTGTAATCAATACACAATTCTTCTTAAGTGCTGAAACTTAACTTAAAAGTGATCACTGTTAAATATAAGAGTGGGAATAAGAGAGGGAAGAGATGTGCAATTCGGGACATGCTCAAGCTGACTTACCTCAAACGGTAGAGTTAGAAACATACCAGGGGATTCCAATTCAATCCCATCAAGGTGGCATGTACCAATGCCATCTCACTAGTCCCAGTGATCAATTTCTGTTCACAATTAATCACAATGATAGGACTAAGAACCAAAGGGATCACATAAACAAGACTAGTGTCTGCAAATACTAGCTGATAGAAAAAAAAACGGGAGAGAACGATCCAACATGGGAAGTGAGATACATAGCAGACCCATAGAATGGCAGATGTCCTAAACAGCACTCTGGCCTCATAATCAGCCCTTAAGGCATGTGGATCTGGCTGAAATGCCCATGAGAGTATTTTAGGCATGGAAAGCCAAGGCACTCTGGGAAAAAAAAAAAAAAAAACTAAATTAAAGATCTCCGCGAGTGAGATCTGAGATCCCATTGGAAAGAATGGGTCATCAAAGAAGGAGGTACCTTTCTCTGAAGGGAGGAGAGAACTTCCACTCTGACTATGACCATGTCTAAATATGATCAGAATGGGTGAACTCAAAAGGCTTCCATAGCCTTGGAAACTCATGACTGGAGCATAGGGAGATTACTGATGCCATAAACAGGAGTGTCAATTTGTTAAGTCAACAACAGGAGTCACAGTGCACTTACTCCTCATGTAGGATCTTTGTCCTTAGTGTGCTGTACATTGAGATTTAATGCTATAACTAGTACTCAAACAGTATTTTTCCCCTAATGTTTCTGTGTGGGAGCAAACTGTTGAAATATTTACTTAATGTATACTAAACTGATCTTCTGTATATAAAAAGAATCGAAAATGAATCTTGATTTGAATGGAAGGGGAGAGGGAGTGGGAAAGGGGAGGGTTGCGGGTGGGAGGGACATTATGGGGGGGAAGCCATTGTAATCCATAAGCTGTACTTTGGAAATTTATATTCATTAAATAAAAGTTAAAAAATGTAAAAAAAAAATTATAAAGGAACCAATTAAGTTGACTGGAAGAATAAAAACTGCAATTGATTTGTAAAATAAAATAAAATAAAATAAAATAAAATAAAATAAAAAATGTGACGTGACCAGCGCTGTGGCATAGCAGATAAAGCCTGCAGTGCTGGCAATACTTATGGGCACTGATTTGAGTCCCAGCTGCTCCACTTCTGATCCAGTTCCTTGGTAATGTGCCTGGGAAAGCAATAGAAAATGGCCCAAGTCCTTGAGCCCCTCCATCCACAGAAAAAGCTCCAGGATCCCGGCTTTGAATCTACTCAGCTCTAGCAGTTGTGGCCATTTGGGGAGTGAACCTTTGGATGTAGGACCTCTGTTTCTCTCTGCCTCTCTGTAACTCTGCCTTTCAAATAAATGAATAGATCTTTTTTTTTTTTTTTAAAAAGTAAGTATTCTAATAAGAATAGAGCATACTGATCCTACTTACTTTTATCTGAAATTCAGAGTTAACTGGGATCCTCTATCTGACTTAACCATCTTATCTAGAATGACTCTGCCATAAGAACATATCAATTGGCACAGCAGTTCCAGGAAGAAGATGAGAAGCAAGTGAAACATACATATCCCAGCTGAAGTGCAGCATGAAATGAAATTCAAAAACAAACATGTCATTATTCAATTATTCATGCACAGATAACATGATTCTATACTATGAGAATCTACTATTAAATACTCCTAATTTTAGCAAAGTTCCCATGTAAAACGGAATATATATTAAAAATGCATTTCCACAGATATTTCTTCTAATAGTTCATAGTTTTAAGTTTACTGTCAACTGTTCAATCCATTCTGGTTACATTTTTGTGTATGGCATGTGATGAAAGTTTAATTTCATAGTTCTTTTTGAGAATATTTATTTTTCCCAGCATTTTTTATTGAAGAGATTATCATTTCTATATTGTGTGTTTTTGTCACTTTTTTTTTTTTTTTTTTGACAGACAGAGTTAGACAGTGAGAGAGAGAGACAAAGAGAAAGGTCTTCCTTCCATTGATTCACCCCCTAAAAGGCCGCTGTGGCCAGCGCACTGCACCAACTCGAAACCAGGAGCCAGGTGCTTCCTCCTGGTCTCCCATGCGGGTGCAGGGCCCAGGCACTTGGGCCATCCTCCACTGCCTTCCCGGGCCACAGCAGAGAACTGGACTGGAAGAGGAGCAACCTGGACAGAATCTGGCGCTCCGACCGGGACTAGAACACGGGGTGCCTGCGCTGCAGGCGGAGGATTAGCTTAGTGAGCTGCAGCACCAGCCTTTTTTGTCACTTTGATGAAAAATATATTGACTGAAAGCATGTGTATTTATTTTAAGGATCTCTGTCTGTCTCACTGACTGTTTTCATATCAGTAGTATGCTTTTTCATTTTATTTATTTTTTTACTACGTAATTGGTGATTCAATATGAACTTTAGAATTTTTTCTATTTTTGTTAAAAAAATTCCATCCATTTATCTGAATAGAAATACAGTTTTCTAGAAATAATCAAATATAAATTATTCTTTATCAAATTTTGCAGTGAATTTTCCTTCATTGACTCTATTATAATGTTATAGTTCCTTTTTAATCTTTTTTTTCATTTTGCAGAGAATATTTGATGTATTGGTGAACGATTTAATTAATGAGTAACACTACATATATGTGATTAAGGTAGTAATTTTAAAAGTGAAAATCATTTTTAAACTGATGTCTACTTGTGGAAGTATGGAAAATTTTGCATTCTTGAGAGATACTGAGCAATTACTTTCACTTAATTAGTTTCCTTCCTCCCTCCCTCCCTCCCTCCCTCCTTCTATCTCTCCTTCCCTCTTCTCTCCTCCCTCCCTCTCTCCCTCCCTCCCTCCTTCTCTCCTCCCTCCCTCCCTCCCTCCTTCTATCTCTCCTTCCCTCTTCTCTCCTCCCTCCCTCCCTTCCTCCCTCCCTCACTTCCTTCCTCCCTCACTCCCTCCCCTTCCTCCCTCACTCCCTCCTCCCTCCTTCCTTCCCCTTTTCTTCTTTTTCACCTTCTCCTGCTCCATCTCCTTACAGCCTCCTCTTCTTCCTTCATCACTTATTTTTTCTGCTTTTGTTTTCTGCAGGCAAAGAATGTGAAACATGAAGTATCTTCCTAAGTGAAATATTCCTGTGACATTATATTTGTACATTAAAGTATGTTTTAATTTTATAATATTTTTAAAAAATTTAGCAGACATAAAACTGTGCATACTTGGGAGTACAATGTAATGTTCAATAAATGTACACCTGGTATAATATTCAATTATGGTAAATACATATATATCTCCTCAAACCTTGAACATTTCTTTATGATGAAAACTTCCAAGATCCTATCTTCTAGTTTTTTTTTTAACAGTTGAAAACCTCACCATTTCCAACAACATGGATTGAACTATAGGTCAATATTTTAAGTAAAATATGCCAAGCACATAAGAAAAGTATCACATGCTCTCTCTCACATGTGGAGTCTAAAAACAAATTATGACCTCATAAAAGTTAAAAGTATAATGATGGTTACCAAGCCTGGGGAAGGAACACGGAAGAGAACTAAGGGGAAATGTTGATTAATTGGTACTAAATTATAGTTAGATAGCAGCAAAAAGTTCTGAGATTCCATCGCACAATAGGAGGACTATAGGTAATTTTCTGTTTATTTCTCTATAGGTTATATTGTAATTAAAAAATAAAGAAAAAAGAAATGTCAACATCCCCCCAAATAAATCCCTTGTCTCTTCTTAAACATTTTTTCATTATATCCAAAGATTTGTGTAGGTGAAGCCATATGGAGAGCTTATTTCCTTTGATGTGATTAATTTGATTGATTAATTCAAGTCATGCCCATACAAGTTAAAAGCAAATTTAAACAGAAATGAATCAAAGCTACTGAGGAGATTCAGCCAAAACCTTGAATCTAATGAAATTTAATCCTTGTGGAAATCAGTTTTGGAAGAGGGAGATTAGGTCTGGGCTTCTGTCTCTATTTCTGACGTTTGAAACAGCCATACTCACTAGCACTGCTCTGAAATCTGGCTCTGGGCTTTATTCTCATTGTATCTCAGGTTGATTAGCAATATATGATATATAGATACATATATATATATATGCAATATATGATGTTTACATATGTACATATAAGTATACATACATCACATATATAAATACACACACACTGAGCTAAACATTACTTAAATTTTCTAAGAACTAACATAACTGAAGGCACATATGCATGTTCTCCACACATAATAACCTCTACTGGGTTGAAGGTTTTACAGAGTGAACTTATGGCATATCTGCTTGCCCTTGTATTTTGTTAATTTGCTTAGCATAAATAAATGTGCAATGTGTTTTGTTCAGAAATAGCCTTATGGGATATTTAAATAATTAAGACTGACCATCATGTATATCAGGAGAGATATAACAGAACTGATACAAACCTTATAATATGCAGAATTGTCATGAGTGCCACGAGACTAGCAAAAAAAGCAGAGAGAGCACTGAGGAAGCTGGAACAATCCATGCTGTGCTAAAGGGAAAGACAGACTCTTAGAAGCATGCCAACAGCCAAGTAGAATTACATCAGGTAGAATAATAATAATAGTCAAAATCGTACTATTTTAATATTTGTGACACACTGTTCTATGCCCTTTACATGAGTTAAATTTCTTAATTTAACTTACATTTATTTAATTTGATACGTGCTACCATTATACTCACAGTTGAGAAAAGTTAGATACAGAATTGTTCTTTCCCTCTTTCAGGCATATAGGTGTGGCCTTGGGGCTGGCCTTGTCGTGTAGTGGTTATAGTCAGCACCTGCAATTGCAGCATGCCATATGGGTGCTGATTCAAGTCCCAGCTTGCTTCACTTCTGATCCAATTCCCTGCTAATAGCCTGGGAAAAGCAGTGGAAATGTGTCAATTATCTGCGCCCCTGCCACTTATGTGGAAGAACTGGATGAAGCTCCTGCCTTTGGCCTGGCCTAAACACAGCTGTTATGGTCATCTAGGGAGTGACCCAGAGGATGGAAGATCTTTGTCTGTTTATGCCTCTCTTTCTGTATCTCTTGCAAAATAAAAAATAAAATCTTTAAAAAAAATAGGTGTGGCCTTCCCCTAAGAAGAAGGGTATCTATCTTGGGTATAAATACCCGCATTCAGACAAATGAATTATGAGTGCTTATTTTAACTCAGTAAATAACATAAATTACCCAAACTGAAAATCATTTTCCAAGATGGAGATAGTTTCAATTTTTGAGTTTCATAAAGTGTATTTCTCTGTTTGGTTATATTTACCAATAATTAAATCAACCATATGAAATATTCATATCTTGAATTCAAATGTTTTTCTGTTTTATTTTTAGATATTTATTTATTTGTTTGAAAGGCAGAGTTACAGAGAGGCAAAAGAAGAGAGAGAGAGAGAGAGAGAGAGAGAGAGAGAAAGTCTTCTAGCTGCTGATTCACTCCCTAAATGGCCACAACAGCTGGAGCTGTGCCAATCCAAAGCCAGGAGCTAGGAGCTTCCTCCAGGTCTCCCACACAGATACAGGGGCCCAGGCACTTCGGCAATCTTCTACTTCTTTCCTAGGCCACAGCAGAGAGTTGGATCAGAAACGGAGCAGCTGGTACTCGAACTGGCACCCATATAGGATGCCTGCACTTCAGGTAGTGGCTTGACCCACTATGCCACAGTACCTTTCCCCAATGTTAATTCTTTTTTTTTTTTTTTTTTGACAGGCAGAGTGGACAGTGAGAGAGAGAGAGAGAAAGGTCTTCCTTTGCCGTTGGTTCACCCTCCAATGGCCGCTGCAGCCGGCGTACTGCGCTGATCCAATGGCAGGAGCCAGGTACTTATCCTGGTCTCCCATGGGGTGCAGGGCCCAAGGACTTGGGTCATCCTCCACTGCACTCCCTGGCCACAGCAGAAGGCTGGCCTGGAAGAGGGGCAACCGGGACAGAATCCGGCGCCCCGACCGGGACTAGAACCCAGTGTGCTGGCGCTGCAAGGCAGAGGATTAGCCTATTAAGCCGCGGCGCCAGCCCCAATGTTAATTCTAATTAATGATATAGAGATCAATAAATCTGTTGATGGGGCTAAGTAAAACAAATGTGAACTCTTCTAAAACAGGAGAAGACTGCGTTTACTTACGTGTCAGAGTAGAACCCTCTTCAAGGCTAAGAGTTAAGAAACGAAGAGAACATTGAATCCTTCAATCAACATTCAAAAAACTGCATGTATAGAGCATATTAAAGTTATCACTGTGATATCAACAGAATGCATTTTCCTAATATTTAATAGGAAAGAAAATTTCCTTATAAAATGGTTAGATAGCTTTTCTCGTATCACTCCTAGAATGATCGTTGCCCAGAACCCAAAACATTAGGATGATATGCCTCCTAAAACTAGCTAAGTGAGATGTTCTTTATCCTCAGCCTTTCTATCTGTTGCAAACCAGTTGAGTATGAGATGCCAATGGTTTCAGAAACAGCTCTGCACACCTCACTCACAGAAGTGAGCATAACGTTGACATTCATAAAGCAGTGGGTTCTTCCTTGTAGAATTTTCTCATTTTTATTTTTAATGTTGATACCACTCTTAAAATAGTCTACATGAAAATGAGCCAGCATCAATTATACTATAATTGTATATTTATGAAATCCCATAATAGTGAATTTTAATTCAAGAGATGGAAAAATAACACTGCAATATCACAGGCTGGCAGCATTTTTCATATGTGTGTGGTCAGCCACACTAATCATAGTTCCCCAAATATTAAACATATGTCATAAATGATTCACTTTCATGGCTCTCTAGATTCATGAAGTCAGATCCCCTTGCACTAATCAGCTCATGCTGTCGGAAGTTAGAGGAGCATCTGTTCACACAAGGGGAGATACACACTAGGCATTTTAAAGTGATATAAACTGAACCATCAGGAGAAGAGTCATTGTGATACATTGGGCTACAATGATAGAGGAATCTATAGAATAAAGAAACTCACATAAATGGAGAGGAACAAAGCACAGGAGCTGTATTTGGACCAAATATAATAGTAAGATTAACATTTATCAAATCCCTAGCATGTGGCAGGTGCATCCCTTCTGTTATGGTGAAACTGCACAATACTGCTACACTGTATGTGACAGCATTTTGAATGCACAGATGAGGAAAATGAGGTTCAAAGAAGGTGACTGCTCAGGAACTCACAATGGCAGTGGTAGCACCAGAATTCTGTATGGGAAAGTACTAAAAGTGTCAAGCTAGTTGGAAGATAAGGCTTGAAACTGCATTTTATATAACTCTCTAGATATTATTAAAGAACGAAGGAAGGGCAAATCCAATTATCTGAGGGGTCAAGCACAGGCCAGTCTGTGCCCTCCTGGGGCTGCTGCCGGGGCTAGTCAGGGCGCTCTGGAACTAACACCCATTTCTGTCTGACTCCAGTTCTGTGTTTGTTGTTCACTGTATCATACTGCCTCCTAATTGATCAGATTCAACATCACATTAAAGTTGAACTTGGGGTGATTTCTAAAGAGTAAAACTGAGTTATAAAAGCCTCTCCCCGAAAAAAAGGAAGACAGCTGTCAAATTGTCTCTTTAGTCTAAAAACTCTATAGTTCTCTCTCCAAAACTGAAGGCTATCACGGCTCATCTGCCCCCCCACGGTCTCCTGGACCTGCCCTCGTGACTCTGAGCCAATGGTCTCACTGAGCCGTAGTGCTCCAGGAAGCTCACATTCAGGGCAGCAGCTTCATGGCCTGCTGTGGCTATAACCCCAAGCCTCCTGCTGGTCTTATCCCGTGGAATTTGCGCAGCTGTAAGTCCAAAGTCCCTTTCATTAGCAGAGCAACTACAGTGTCATGATCTGCCTCATGCTCCACTTCAGAGAGACGTGATGAGCACTCTGAACAAGCATAGAAAGAAGAAAAATATTTTTCATGTACCACAATGCTACTTTCTGAGTTATTCCTATTTAGGATTACTAAATTGCACACAGACACTCACATAAATTTGAATTTTAGTTAGCAGTGAAGGCTTTTTGAATAAGTATATATAATAAATGCAAATATTAATGTAATATAAAGTCTGTTCATACCATATTTGAAGTATATTTCTTTTAATCATTAGCATTCTTTACCTGAACTTCTTCACATATATTGATCTTCTAAATCTGGCGAGCCTACCTCTGTGCTCAACATAAAACTCCATCTCTGACCTCAAGGAACTCAGTCTGAGGGAATCATGTTTATCAACCTCAATTAAAAAAGAAAATAAGTTCCTCTTAAAGGTATTTGAGGCCGGTGCCGCGGCTCAATAGGCTAATCCTCCGCCTGCTGAGGATTCCTGGTTCTAGTCCTGGTTGGGGTGCTGGATTCTGTTCCGGTTGCTCCTCTTCCAGTCCAGCTCTCTGCTGTGGCCCGGGAGTGCAGTGGAGGATGACCCAGGTCCTTGGGCTCTGCACCCGCATGGGAGACCAGAAGAAGCACCTGGCTCCTGGCTTCGAATCAACGCGGTGCGCCAGCCGGGGCGCGCCAGCTGCAGCAGCCACTGGGGGGTGAACAAATGGAAAAAAGGAAGATCTTTCTCTCTGTCTCTCTCTCTCACTGTCCACTCTGTCTGTCAGAAAAAAAAAAAAAAAAAAAAAAGGCATTTGATAGTGCTTTGGGATCTCAGGCAAAGAAGTGCCTAATTCAGATAGGGAACCCAGACTTTGTATTAGTGTCTTTCTGATACAAAGCAGACAAATGGCTGCATGGAAAATACATGGAGTTTGCAACAGAGTTGGAAATGAAGCATAATTATAGGCAAAAGTAGCAAATCATGCAAAGTAACAATACCAGATATACCATGAGAGAACCCATGGTTAGCTGTTAAATACTTTGTACACTAGTATTATCTTCCTACTATTATCTCGGAAGGTTTCATTTGGTGAGAATACATTTGATTCATATAACCAGAGAAGAATCTTTTCCCAAACCCTGGATCAAATGACATGTTCACATACGTGCCCCAAAGAATGTACACACTTCGGTATTATAGAGCTCTCCACGTGTCTCATTTGTATTTCTGTGTAATTCTTTAGACTATAATTTTATAGTGGATAGTCTTTGTATCATTTTTCTCTATATTCTTTTTATTCTAAGTCCCTGACCAACACTTGGTACTATGTAGGTGCTCAGAAAATATGGAGCTGACTCTGTTGGAATTGATGTGAAAGGAGAAGCTCCTTCAGGAGGTAATAATCAAAAGTGCTGACACTTGAAATGGTAATTGTGCATACGTTTTGGTGTGTGGTGGCCAACATTTCCTGCAAAGACACTGATGATGATGGTGATGAAGAAACTGGAGAAACAAAGGAAATTTGAATAAGAAGAGCAGAATTCACAAGCCAAAAATACAATAGCAGAGAAGAATTTTTGCTTACGTTAAAACATTTTAGTATAAGTTACAATCATTTTAGTCCCAAACCCTTCCAATTTTGTGTAAGATTTATTTATTTGAAAGGCAGAGCAGCAGAGAGTGGGAGACACAGAAAAAGAGCAAAAGGCTGAGATATTCTATCTTCTGGTGTGCTCCCCAAATGGCTACAACAGCCATGTCTGGGCCAGGATGAATCCAGGTGCCAGGAATTCCACTGGGATCTCTCTTGTCAGTGGCAGGAGCCCAGACACTTGGGCTATCACCAGCTGCTTTCCCAGGTTTATAAATGGAACTGTGTTGGAAACAGAGTAGCCAGAACCCAAACTGGGACTTTGATATGGGACAATGGTGTTGCATGTTGTAGTTTAACCTACTAGACCACAATACAGGGCCTCCCTTCCAATTTTTAGTGTGCCAATCACTTTACCTCATACATGTTATCCAAGCTATTAAATTATTCCCCATTAATATTGACATTTTGAGTTTATTTGATTCTACATATACTTTATTTTTTTCCAACACAAAAGGAAGCATTATATACGCATACACATACACACAACACCCCATGGAAACTAAGTAACTAATTGGATTTGTTTATATTGACTAATTATTTAGAGTCATTTGGATAGAAACAAATTTCCTGTACACCTTCATTTCATATTTCCATGTGTTCTTGGTCTTCCTTAACTCAAATTATCGACTTTGTACTACTTACCCATATTAAGGCAAAAATATGTGAGTGTATGCATGTGTGCCTGTGTGTGTGTGTGTATTAGAAAGAGGCTTAGGCATATAACATCTAATAATATTTTAAAAATGTATCTTGGAAATATATTCAAATGTTTTTATCTAAATATCTATATATTTATGAATAAGTGTGTGAACTGTGTATATATAAATATATGCTTATACAAAACAAACACATGTGTTTCTACATATTTCATGTAATACATACACGCATACACACACACATATATATATATGAGGTGCTTAGGTACAGAGCATGGGTCGATATTTTTAAAATTCTGTATATGCACATAATTTTGCTTCAAAACAAAATTTGAAAGTAAGGAGAGATTAATTTATCTGTACTTTATGGAATACCATGTACACTGCGTGTGCTTAATAAATGTTAAATAATAGTAATCTATTCCTATCCATTTATCCGCTATCTGCAATTAAGCAATAGGGTGCCAAATTATATATCAAGCAGTTTTTATTGGCTATATTTTTCTAGGCAGCAGGTAGAGGATTTACAACGCGTTATGCATCACAGATCATTCCCAGAGCAACTTACCATGCAGTTTAAGTAGGTAAAATTCTGACCCACACCCTACAGAGGATTGTCAAGGCTAAAAGCTGCATTCAGCTTGTCTGCCTTGGCTTTCTTTCTCTCTCCTCTACCTCAATCATCACTTGCTTTCAAATAAATAAAACCTTATGTATTTTGAGTAAATTACTCCTGCTCTTGAAACTGGTTAAAAAAAAATCTCCATGCCAATTTTAAGTTTTGATATCAGTAACCCCTTTGTGAGTTTCTTTTCTTTATGTTTCTTTTTTGTAATTTGGCTATATTTTGTTACATATTTTAAAAATATATATTGGATTTAAGCATTATTATAGTTTATCAACAACAAAAGAGCACTGTTTATAAATCAGAATGATGAAGTGAAAGTAATCATTTTGTATGAAAGAGAACTGGCAGCAACATGAGGACCTGATAAAATTAATCATAAAGCATGGAGTGCAGCTTGGGTGTCATCTAGTCTGATTCTCTATTTAAGGAGTCTCTGCCTTGTCCTTGTCATGAAGTTTGTGAAATCTTCTGAATAATGAAGTCATCTCCTCAGAAGTGAGCTCCTCTATTTTTATTTTTAAGAATGTCTAATTGCCACTAGTTTTTTTTTTTTCTCTCTGGTCATTCCCTCCAGAAACACAATAAAAGAAGAAAAAAAAAACATGAACCATGCTAAAATATTTGCTTAGATTATTTATTCATTGAGTTGCCTGCTTGCATCATATTTTCTTAGACACCAGTGACTCTCACATTGTGAAATCCAATGAGCAATATTTCATTCTCATTTTACTTAAACTATCAAAAGCATTTGATATAAATGATTACTCCCTATTCTTGGAATCTAGTCTTTTTTTTTTTTTTCTTTTTCACCTTGGGTGTCATACACTCCCTGTTTCCTTGCTATCTCACCTGTTCACCTGTTACTCTGCCTACTCTTATTGAAACACTCAAACCCTCAATCAATTTTTGTTTATTTTATCCTTTCATAACTAATTAACAAGTCCTATAGGCTGTACCTTCAAAATGTAGCCCTATTCTAAACATGTCTCACTAACTTTTCCACTACCACCTTATTAGGCCAAACAATCAACAACATTTTTAATTCTATTCATTTATTTGAAAAAGAGAGAGAGAGCACTTAGATCTGATGGTTCACTTTCCAAATGCCCATAGTCTCCAGGACAATGTTGGACTTAAGTCAGGAGCCTGGAATCAATCCAGTGCTCTGTGTGGGTGGTAGGAACCCAATTACTTTAGCCATCACTGCTGCCTCCTAGGGTCTGCATTAGCAGCAAGTTGAATTAAGAAGCCAGAACCCAGCATCAAACTCAGGTAATTTGGTGAGGCTTAAAGAGTTCCAACTTGTGGCTTCTTAATTGCTAAGCTAAGCTCTGCTGGCACCATTCATTCTTGATTGGACTGTTGTGATATTGTCCTTCAGTTGAATGGTCTTCTATATTAGACACAAAGAGATGGTTATAAAATATATATTCTCCCCTTGATTACTATTGAGATAATCTTACGCATCTTTAGGATAAAGTTTTCAGATGCAATTCTCATATCTCCACCCTCCCTTGCAGAGATTGCCATATGAAGCAAAAGGAAGACTTTAGTGTATTTTATTTTACTGCTTTAAAATTTATCTTTCTTGCTTGGGAACTAGATGCAAAGTCAAAGAAATAGTAACAATGTTGCAAGCATGAGAAGTGTGGGCTGCTACTACAAGTTATCATGGGGGCCGGCACTGTGGCCCAGTAGGTTAATCCTCTGCCTGTGACGCAGGCACCCCATATCGGCATTGGTTCTAATCCTGGCTGCTCCTCTTCCAATCCAGCTCTCTGTTGTGGCCTGGGAAATCAGTAGAAATGGCCCAAGTGATTGGGCTTCTGCACCCATGTGAGAGACCAGGAAGAAGCACCTGGCTCCTGGCTTCGGACAGGCGCAGCTCCAGCCATTGCAGCCATCTGGGGAGTGAACCAATGGAAGGAAGACCTTTCTTTCTGTCTCTACCTCTCACTGTAACGCCACCTCAAAAATAAATAAATAAAATCTTTAAAAAAATGTTACCATGACTGGGTGGCTTAAATAACATTGATTTTTAACAGTTCACTAAGCTGCTAAGGCCAAGATCAAGGAGCCAGCAAATGTCTAGTGAAAGCTTAAATACAGGGAGAAAAGCCCAGGATGGGGCACATTTAGCAGGGAACTCTAACAAACACTTTGAGAAGAAACAATGCCAATTCTATGCATATTTTTCCAAATTCTGTATGGCAAATGCTTTCCAGAACATCCTATGTGCCCAGCATGAACCTGACACAAAAAGACAAAGATCTTACAACAGGAGAAAATTATGGATCAATGCCAACAATAATTAAATGGAAAAATTCTAAGCAAACTCTAAGCAAAAGCTAAATCTAGAAAAATATATAAATGATTATACACAGATAGTTCGAAAGTTCATGAAAAAATGGAACTAAAAATAAGTTTAGGGGCTGGCATTGTTCACTATAGTAAGGCACCACTTGCAATACCAACATTCCATTTTGGGGTACCAGTTCAAGTCCTCTCTGTGCTGTATTTGATTCTTTCCCATTTAAGTTGTCTGGGAAGACAAGAGAAGGTCATAGGAGTCTTTTGCCAAATACCTGGGCACTTGGCCACTACTGTGGGGGACAAGAATGGAGTTACTGGTGCCTGGCTCCTGGCTTTGTCCTGGCTCAGACTTGGCTGTTGTGGTCATTTGGGTAGTGAACCAGACAGAAGATCTCTGTGTGTGTGTGTGTGTGTGCGTGTCTTTCTGTATCTCTCTCTGTCACCCTCTCTTTATGCATATCAAATAAATAAATCTTAAAAAACAAAAAAATCCATTTATTTTGAAAAAATAATTTCAATAAATTTTGAAATTCATGTTTACAAGGGGTTTTTGGGAACTGCATGGGAATGCATATTATTTATGAATTTCAAGGTGGTCTGATTTATGCTGGATGAAATTAATATAAAGAAAGTGGAGAAGGGAAACTGCAGTGGGAGATCCTGCAAAAACAGAACAAACAGCCCGGACTTGTGTGGAAAGTGCAGACATGAAGTGAGGTGCAATGAGACAACAAACAACCCAGCAGCTTTGATCCAGGGAGGAAGGGGCCCACCAGGTTAGATCAGACTGCGAGAACCCATGTCACTGTTGATATAGCAGGAAGGAGAGCTTAGGGAACCGCAACTTTTTTGAGTCTAGCTTGGATTCCTCAGGATGGCAGGGCAACTGCTTACCTGTGTGTGGTGGGGAGGGAAGTACCGCATCTCTATCTCTCCCCTTCTCACTGCTACAACAGTGACCTGCAGCCAGTGGTTGGAGGGCTGGTGCCATTTTGGACACTGACAGTTAGCAGCTGCTTCAGTTTATGTGTGTGCACCCAGAAATTATTTGGCGTGCCCTCCACGCAGTCGGCAGGGGCAACAACTGAATCTCAAGAGGAACCAACCCAGATGGTCTCCACTGTGGCAGTTGCACCCACCCAGCAATGGGAGGGGAGAGGGAGCCATCCTTATGGAAGGGAAGTGCCACCTGTGGGACTCTCCTAAGTGACCAGCACAATTATGAAGTGAGCAGGGCTGCAGCTGGAGGGTATTTTGTGTGCCTGTGAGTGAGAACTTACCAGAGGGAAAACCGCATTCCTTTATGACATCAACTGGTTGGGAAGACCAGACTCAACCCAGCAGCCTAGAACACACAAGAAAAGCAGGTCTGGAAACACCTCAGTCTCCTTGCAGACAGGACAGGCTTGTGGGGTGGAGTGGTCGCATGGGCAGTCCTTGACCCTGAGAGCACTGGGAGCTGAGAGTGAGCAAACACAATGATTGCATGAGAGGAGGCAGGGTGTAGCTAGATTCTGGGCAATCACAGAGTGATCTCAATCCAAGCCATTTTAATTGGTGAAATAAGCCAGTCACAAATGGCAAATTCCATAGGGTCTCTCTGATATGTGGTAACTAATAGAGGATTTAAAATGTAATCTATAGGAATGAAACTGACACTTTGAGATTTGATTTTTTGAACAGCCTTAGCAAAGATTATCAAACAACAATGTTTTTCTTCTTTGTGTGGTTTTGTTCTTTTCTTCTATTTTTATTCACACTAATCAGTGAACTCTCTACTTAGTGAATAGTTACTCTTAAGTATTAAAATTAACTGAAAATTGATCTCTATAAGAAATAAGAATGGGAAATGAAAGGAGGGAGGAGGAAGAAAGGCAGGAGTATGGGTGGGAGGGAGATAGGGGAGGAAGAATCATTATGTTCCCAAATCTATATATTAAATGGATTAAGTTGTATTCCTTAAACAAAATAAAAAGATAACCAGTAAAAACAAAGAAATTTGAATTTAGAAAAAAAAAACTTATTTTTCACCAAATGTCTTTTGACTCCATTTTTTTTTTTTTCACACACTTTTTGATGTACACGCTTGAAGAGTATTGGGGGTTTACACCATGGATGCAAGCATAGTTTAATGTTAGAAAGGCAAGAAGTATAATTGCCATTTGCAAGTAGGAGGAAAAACACCTGAACATCTCAAAGCATACAGAAAAAAATTTGACAACTGTCAATGTATGTTCTTTAAAAAAAATTAACCTAGGAGGGGCCAGCACTGTGGTGCAGCAGGTTGGCACCCTGGCCTGAAGTGGTGGCATCCCATATGGGTGTCAGTTTGAGACCCGGCTGCTCCAGTTCTGATCTATCTCTCTTCCATGGCCTGGGGAAGCAGTAGAAGATTGCCCAAGCCCTTGAGCCCCTGCACCCACGTGGGAGACCCGGAAGGGGCTCCTGGCTCCTGGCTTCAGATCGGCTCAGTTCCTGCTGTTGTGGTCAATTGGGGAGTGAACAATTAAATAAATCTTTTTAAAAATTACCTAAGAAACTAGGAAAAGACAGGAATTTAACCAACTTGGCAAAGGCTAGCTGTTAAAAATCTAGAGCTAACCTGATACTGATGGTGAATAACTACATGTTTCCCTACAAAGTACAGGAACATCACAGCTATATCTGTACTCACTTCCATTCACCATTGAAATGAAATATGTAGGTAATCAGGAAGAAAAAGATAACACACAGAAAACACACACATCATACATACCTACACTCATGCAAAACACATGCATTGAGAAATAAGCAAAACTGTCTCTATTCATAGATGATACATTTGTCTTTTTGTAAAATCCAAGGGCATCTGTATTGAAAAAAAAAATAAACTGCTTGAAATAATAAGCAAGTTTCCCAAGGAGTAAGCTACAACTTCATTTTACAAAGTCAAATATGTTTCTATATGTAGTACAGAATAAAGAAATTGCTATTTTAATATATTAAGTAGCCCTAAAAGTGTGAAATACTTAGAGATAAATATGACAAAAGTTGTATAATACCTGTGCTCTGAAATGTACAACATTGCTGAGATAAACTTTTAAAATTTTAAATCCGAGAATTTCCCATACTCAATTTAAAAGCCACATATTAGGGCCTGTATTGTGTTTAACTGGTTAAGCTGCTGCCTGCAGTGCCAGCATCCTGTATGTGCACCTGTTTCATTCCTGTCTACACCACTTCCAATCCAGTCCCCTACTAATGTAACTAAGAAAGCAGAGGAAAATGATGCCAATACTTGGGGCCCTGCATGCACATGGGAGACCTAGAAGAAATTCCTGGTTCCTGGCTTCCGCCTGGCCCAGCCCAGGCCATTGCAGCCATTTGAGGAGTGAACCAGGATAGAAGATCTCTCTCTCTCTCTCTTTCTCTGTGTGTGTGCACATGTGTGTGAGTATTTCTCCCTCTGCCTCTCTGTATCTCTGCCTTTTAAACAAATCTTTTTTAAAAGGCCACATAATTTACCCAAATGAAAAGAAATCAGAATGTAAAACAGTTATCTATACCCCTATGTTCATTACAGCTCAATTCACAATAGCTAAGGTATGGAATCAATGCAGATATCCATCAACTGATAACTGGATAAAGAAATTATGTTGTATACTATGGATTATATGTAGTACATATAGTACTACTATATGTAGTACACTATGGAGTACTACTCAGTTGTAAAAAAATGAAATGCTTTATTTTGCAACTAAATAAATGCAATTGGAAACCATTATACTTAGTGAAATAAGCCAGTACCAAAAAGACAGATATCATGTTTTCCCTGATCTCAGATAATTGAGTGCCTAAAATGTAATGTATTGGAGTGAAATGGACATTTTGAGATTTGATAATTGCTTACATCTGCAAGTTAGGACTCTTTTATCCTCATCAAAGTTTACGAGTTTGATGCTAGGTTCTGGCTCCCAAATTCAGCTTGCTGCTAATGCAGACTCTGGGAGGGAGGAGTGATGGCTAAAATAATTGTGTCGCTGCTACACACGCAGATGCTACCCATGCAGAACACTGGATTGATTACAGGCTCCTAACTTCAGTCCAGCATTGCCCCAGAATCTATGGGCATTTGGGGAGTGAAAATAAATGAATAGAATTAAAAATATCATGGATGGTTTTAATTCCTTCCCAATTTGTATCCCTTTGATTTCTTTTTCTTTTCTAATGGCTCTAGCTAAAACTTCCAGCACTGTATTGAATAGTAACTGTGATAGTGGGCATCCTTGTCTGGTTCTTGATTGTAGTGGGGATGCTTCCAACTTTTCCCCATGCAATAAGATGCTGGCCATGGGTACATCATAAATGGTCTTGATTGTCTTGAGAAATGTTCCTTCTATACCTAATTTCCTTAGAGTTTTCATCATGAAAGGGTGTTGTATTTTATCAAATGCTTTCTCTGCATCTATTGAGATAAACATATGTTTTTTGTTCTTCAGTTTGTTAATATGATGTATCACAATGATTGATTTGAAATGTTGAACCATTCCTGCATACGAGGGATAAATCCCACTTGGTCTGGGTAGATGATCTTTCTGACATGTAATGTGATTCAAATGCCTAGTATTTTGTTGAGGATTTTGCATCCTTGTTCATCAAAGAAATTGCTCTGTAGTTCTCTTACTCTGTTTTATCTTTTCCTGGTTTAGGAATTCAGGTGTTGTTGGCTTCATAGATTTTCAGGAGCATTCTTTTCCTTTCAATTGTTTTGAATAGCTTGAGAAGAATAGGAGTAGCTGTTCTTTAAATGTCTGGTAGAATTCAGCAGTGAAGCCATCCAGTTCTGAGCTTTTCTTTGTTGAGAGTGACTTTATTACTGATTTGAGTGTTGTTTTTAGCTGTTGTTTATACTCTTATGGAACCATATATGGTCTTCATATTTTTTACTTGTTGAATATTATGGTTACTGTAGCATTAAGCCTGTTATTGTAAAAAACTAAACTATAAATCTTATAAATGCAAAAATAGGAAAAAATTTATGAGCTTAGAGTTGGCAAACATTTCTTAGGAAATAAAAGTACTACCCATAAACCAAAATGGAATTTTAAAACTCACTTCTTCTAAGGGCAAGATAAAACAAACCCACCCAAGCACATTCACTCATTCATTCATTCTTGCATGCATAGCTATTGAAAAGAAGGGAGATGTCTTCATTCACAGATGACACATTTATCATCTCTTCAAAAGAGAAGGCAAAAGAAAGTCTGACATGAGATATATTTGATAAAGTTTTATGTGTAAAACATAATGAGAAGATAATCAAACAAATTTTGAAATAAAAAGACAAAGATTCTAACAGGAGCTCCACAGAATAAGATATTATGGATGAGACACAAAAAGATTCTGAATAACATTCTTATCATGAATGTTAAATTTAAAACCTCTATTGAGTGCTACATCATATCAACTGCTTAAAATTTTATACCATCAAATTTTGGAAAGAATGCTAAGCATTTTGGATTTATACATTCCTAGTAAGAACCTAAATATTACCACCAATAGTTGGATGATTTTTAATAATATGCTTACTAAAGAAACTCTATTCCTGAATATTTACAAAAAGTAGAAAAAAGAGCTTCTTTTCTTTTTTCTTTCTTTCTTTCTTTCTTTTTTTTTTTTTTTTTGACAGGCAGAGTTAGACAGTGAGAGAGAGAGAGACAGAGAGAAAGGTCTTCCTTATGTTGGTTCACCCCCCCAAAATGGCTGCTATGGCCAGTGTGCTGTGCCAACCTGAAGCCAGGAGCAAAGTGTTTCCTTCTGGTTTCCCATGTGGGTGCAGGGGCCAACCACTTGGGCCTTCCTCCACTGCCTTCCTGGGCCACAGCAGAGAGCTGGACTGGAAGAGGAGCAACCGGGACAGAATCCGGCGCCCCAACCGGGACTAGAACCCAGTGTGCCGGTGCTGCAGGCAGAGGATTAGCCTAGTGAGCCATGGCGCCGGCCCATGAGAACTTATTTTCATTTGCCCTAAAGTCACATTTTATTCTGGAACCAAAGAGTTTAGTGAACAAATAGTTTTAGTTTTTAATTTTTTATTTATATAACTAATTTCATGTATTTAATATATAAAATACCTACACTTGTAACTAATTTTTTGGAAAATATGTATTCTTACTAAAATATAAATATGAATTATAATAATTTCTGAATTCTTAATATTTACAAAGTGGAAGCAGCCCAAATATTCTTCAATATGTAGATAAAAATGAAATTGTATTATATCCATATCATAAAATAATAATAAATAGAAGAAACAGGTTTCAGGCAAGATGGCAGAATAGGAAGGGAGCACACTGATAGTCTGGG